CGACCCGGCAGTGACGTGAAGAACGGGATTGTTAGGAGGCGGCAGGGTCGAGCGCAGCCAGGAAGGAGCTCAGCTTAGCTGTGGAAGGCACCCTCGAGCACGGGGGTTGGAGACCCGCTCCGTTGCAAACCAACCACCTCCTTAGGGGCTTCTGGCAGCGCCTCTTTTCTCCGGACACATCTGGACTGCGACGCCCTTGCTCTCACCCAAGGGCCGGTAGAACAGCAAAACGGGTTTTCCATCCTGCAGCACCTCGCTCGTCAGTTTGCCAATGGCAGGCTGAGCCCTGTATCGCAGTATTGGTCTCTAATGCCTGTAACGACTTTAGCTGGCTTTCCACTTTTTCAGTATTTCCCTGCATGCATCCCCAAGGACAGCATTTGCTGCATTATCATATTGCTCTGTACCCGGCCCTTCAGATGGTTCTCTGCCACCACTCCTACATCCTTTCCCGGTCTAGTTTAAGACACAGAAAGATTAGAGTATGCCTTCATGTAAGCACTAGGGAAAAAACAGAGAGACTTAACTTCATGCATTGAGACAAATTCTTCCAGCTTTCCTCACCAACATCATGTTTAACTGTTTGCCTTGGTACCCTTACAGCATACTCAAATGCTGTTTTCCTGTAATCTGCATCCCATGCACATCAAAATCCTCAAAGCCCTCAACTTTAAACATAATTGCATTTTTAACTCTTCTTCACTTCTCACACATAGCTTCTGACAGAGCAGCTAAGGGAACTGGCATACAAACACTAGTGTATTTGGCAGGAAGCCATGTATAGTCCTTCACCCCAGTACTGTCGTATTCCTTGGATAGGTTTTAAAAGTTGCAAATGCGAGTGGACTTGTATCTCACCATCTGTGTTCTGAGCCTGGTCTGTTCCTCAAACATATCTGTACATGCCATTACTGCTACAAGACACTGACCTGCAGCCCAGTGAGGAGATGGTCCCTGGCTGCAGACCAGTTACCATATCACCACTCTGTCATAGAACTGTTCTTGTACAGTTGGCCTTCTCACAGTCTTATTAGTTCATTTTAAGTAGCAAGTGTCTGCTGCAGTGATAATTTAGCCCAAAAATTTGATCATGGGAACTAAAGCACATAGTAGGAAAAAAAAAAAAACACAGCTCTCCAATACTTCTCCATTTAAAGTGACTTGAGATCTAGTCCACTTTCAGAGCAGGTAAGTAAGGACACAAACAGCACCTGAATGTGGGCCCCTAGACATTTCTTTGATTTTCCACTCGCACTTTTTCCACCTCGTAGTGACAGAGTATATCTGCACCAACAAGAGGTGAAAATCCACGTACAGGATATCAGTCCTGCAGAGTACAGGTATCAGACACCCAGATCCTCATTCCTATGTCCCTGCTAAGCAAGACAGCAGTAACACTACCAGTAGCCTAAATGCTGTGAAAAGGGGTTCAAAGGAAAAAAATATGCAAGTTCTCATAGGGAAGGGTGATAAGAGCTTTGAGTTATTTTCCATGCCATAGCACACTTAACTTGCAATTTTATTTTTTTAAATTAAAACAAGCACAGAAATTGTATTCAGTTTTAGTGATTAGCCTTCTAAAATTGTTATAGCTGAAATGAAGAGGTTTTGTTTGCTGGAAACACTTTCCCTTCCTAATCCTTCACTTTTGCCATTGTTCATGAAAACTTTAAATGAGTTCCATTTTACCAGTTCAGTCCAACTAATTTTTTTTTCCCCTCTCCTCAGGATGACTCAGTGGTATCAGCTACAGCAACTTGATTCCAAGTTTTTAGAGCAAGTTCACCAGCTATACGATGACAGTTTTCCTATGGAAATCAGGCAGTACCTGGCACAGTGGCTGGAAAACCAGGATTGGTAAGCATAGAAATTTGCCTTCAGGTTGTGGGATAAGTGATGTTTTACACACACCAAAAGTATACTAGGTAAGCAAGCTGCTAGGTGAACCTTTGCTGGTAAGACAGTTCAGTAGCTGTGAGGGTGCTATAGCCTGTGCTCCTACCCTTCAGGGCTTTCTAGAGGGGCCTGACACCTAGAGTAACAAGTGTGCTATCTTTTATTTCCCTTGGGTGGTCTGTAACCAAAGTGGCTGTTTTAAGACCAATCAGTTACTACCTTGGCAGCTCAGTCTCTCACTGTTCATAGACTTTGAACTTTTGCCAAGATTTCAGTAGAGCATCTTCAGTTAGAAGAGTGGTACAACATGCACATGTATCAGGTTGACTTCTAGCTTCTTGGTGTGCATGGAATGAGTAAATGAAGTTGCACAGAATGTGGCAAGAATAATGCAGAGAAAACACTTCTGTATCAAGGAAAGCGAAAACAAAGTTGAGCAGATGAACTTGTCTATGTTTGAAGGTAATTCTTATTGCTTTCATATACTACAACTGGAGTTGGGGACTAAAAGTACTCCTGTATGCATTTCTTGAATGCTGTATTGAAAGTGTATTTAACACAAGCACGCCTTAAATTATTCTAGGGAACATGCAGCCAACAACGTGTCTTTTGCTACGGTGTTATTCCATGACCTGCTGTCACAGCTTGATGATCAGTTTAGTAGATTCTTGATAGAAAACAACTTTTTGCTGCAACACAACATAAGGAAAAGCAAACGTAATCTTCAGGTATGCCTGGGGTGTATGCCTATACATTTGGTTGAATTGCTTCAGTAGTGCAATTAGATGCCTCTAAACAAATTACCCTCACACCAGGGATTTTTGCAGAGAATGTGTGAGAATCCTGATTTAAAAGCCAGAATTCAATGTTGCTCCATTTTTTGTTTAATTGGCTACAGTTATAAAGTTAGTTTCATTACCAGTACAGTTACAGTTTGAGAACTCTAGGAAAAATAAAGTTGTGATCTGTAAAGCGTTTGTGTGTTTGGAGCTCTTACTCCAATGTAGCTTCAGTTACCCCACCACGTTCCTCAGCCAGTTTCCTCAGTGTCCTAATAAGCTTCTGATGCAGAAGAAACATGGGGGAAGAAATGCTTCTCATGGAACTGCAGAACTACAGTTAATAGCAAAGGACTTGTCATTAGGCAGCATTTCAGTGCATCATACTGACAAAGAAAAGCAACAGGCAGTGAGTGGCAGTGCAGAACATATCCTTAGTGTACTTAATTACTTTTGTTGTTCAGTCCTCCTCTCCCCTTTGTAGGGCTCTGTGCCAGAGGATCTTCCATAGAGTCCCCTTCACCACAGCCTATTTCCCTTATGTCTAGCTTCTCACCACAAGTTGGTGACTAGGGGACTGTTTTCTCAGGAGATGAGAATATGACCAGGCTGTACTTACCTGATAGTAACTATAGATCAGCAATGGAGATAAGTCAAGAAGGCTGGTGCAGCTCAGCAACCCCCCAGGGCAGCACCATCCTGGGCGAAGCAGGGCAGTACTCAATCCAGAGTATGTTTCAACTTTGCACACATTTAAACAGTTAAGGTTGAATTTGTATCCAGCCTTGACTGTGTGTTCATAAATGGCAGCCAACATATCTCCTTTACATCACTGAGCAAGAGCTGTACCTGTCAAACTAGAACAACAGCCCTTCAAAACCAGCAGCTATACTTCAAAGGTGTAGGAGGGTGGCTCTCAAGAGATGAGCTCTCTTTAGGACCATAGGGTAGCACCTCACTTCCACCAGTAACGTCTCCAGCCTTTTCCCATTGTTCTGTGCTGGGTCCCATCTCCTTGTCCACTAATGAACTAAAATAGAAACTTATTCTTGGAGAAGGCTGCAGCTGTTATGCTCCCCGTAGCTTTAGAGCATGCTATGACCAACATGTGCCACAATCATCTGCTAATCTTTTTGCCAATGCATTTACTGAAGGGCAAGAAATTACGAGTATGAACTTTAACAGACTGTCTCTAATGCCAGGATAACTTCCAAGAAGACCCAATACACATGGCAATGATCATCTACAACTGTCTGAAAGAAGAGAGGAAAATACTGAACAGTGCCCAGTTGTCAAATCAGGTAACAGTCTTAGAATGTCTACCGCAGTGTATCTACCCTTCCCTGTATTTGGGACAGAGGGAGTGAAAGAAGACTGAAAGAGGAAACGGGCTGTCCTCTCTCTGCCCAACAATATGTTTCTTAAAGACAGAAGAGTGAATACTCATATGTACCAGCTGGACAGTGTGGCTTGTTTGTGCTGACTGAAGCATTTGGAGGAGAAATGGCTAGGAAGTAGTTTTTATTCCTTGAGTGATGTAAAAGCTATGTTGTTTTTTTAATGCTTCTGTAGTATGGTCTGTGCTCATCAGATTTTCTAATAATTTAGTAATTACTGCTTGCCTTATTTCTCCAGCAAGGTTTTAGCTTTTTTCTTATGCATTTTACTCCGGAATTTGCTCTGCATTAAGCAGCTGAGCCTTGATACTTCTCTGGACTGTGTCTCTGGGAAAACAATGCATCATTCTCCTTCCAAGTTATCTCCAAGTATTTCTTTTTTTTTTTTTTTAAATGAAGCCCCAAAAAAGAACCATAGGTAAAGCTATAGTCTTTCTCATCTGTTCTGACTTTTCATCTTTCTGGTTTTTTGTTTTGTTTTGGTTTTGTTTTTTGTTTGTTTGTTTTTCCTTTGTAAGGAGAACTGTTTTGCAATAAAAACCAATTCTGCAGTTGGGAAAGGCATGCAAACTGTATAGCTAGATGTAATCCACTTACGCAGTAATAAAGCAATGACTAACCAAGCCTGTTTAAGTTCTGATACTGAAATACTTCCCTTTAGGGCAAGTTTTGAGTGCCTGTTGGTAGAGTGGGAAGAGCACTTGGGTACAGGCTTTCAACAAGGGGCCTAATGCAACTGTGTCCAAAACAGCCCCTCTAAAAGTGTGACCCTGACAGAGCCCTTGTAGCTGCAGCACAGCTGTTCAGTTTCTGTTCTGGCACAGGGCATAAAGCACTCACAACTGCCTTTCTAGCACACAATATGTTTGTGTCATCAAAACCGGAAATAAGTCCTCCTATGCTTATTCTTGGCACTAAGTACGACACCATGCCCTACCTCTGCCTTCTGGTAAAGGTACTCATTTCCCAAAGCAGAGAAGATAAAAATGCAGAGCAGGCACAATTGTAAGCATCATAAAAACCAAAGGAGAATCCCAAATGTCACAGTATGCCAGATTGCCTTAATAGCCTGACTTAAATCTGTGATGAGGGGACCTTTGAGAATTTACCAGCATAAATACTTTAGATGACCTTAGCTTAAGTTGAAGCATTAATCAGAGCAACAATGCATACCCGACTGTTCTGTGTTGGAGGAACAGCAAGTTTCTGACACCAATAGTACTGTTAATGTGCGGAACAAATATATCCTGTCTTTCAAATTACTGCAGCTCTCCCTGAGTGACATCATGGAATAAGTTTCCTGAATGTTATGGAGGTCAGCTTTCAAAGAAACTACACAGATACCTAAAAGTGTGCTTGAATGCCCCATAGGAAAGAAATTGTATACCAAGTTACACCATTTTCTTGTACACAGACCTGTCTTGTTCTTGCTCTTAGCCTGTTTCTCCTAGTATCATGTATGGATGAATCTAATACTTGATGTAGATGTTGTCCAGCCTTCAGGGTGGTTGTTTTCTTGAAATACATTTAAAGATACATAAAGCAAACAAAAGAATGGTTTTGTGCAGAGAGGAAACAGAATATGTTTATAGCTTTATATTGCAATGATAAAAAAATGTAGCATCTCCACACAACAGGCATTTTTAATCCTCCTTTGTTTCTTGCAAATTCACCTGAACTCGATTTTATAATATAAAACTTTAGTATGATTTATCAGAACAAGCCATACTTCACCAGGTTGTCTGTCAACAAAAGCCACTAGCTTACATTAATGAAAAAAGTATTTGCTGTTGTGTGTCACACTGGTTTGACTTCTGTTGTTCTGCTTGCTTCCCTCAGATGGAAGTAGGGAGCATACAGAACACTGTGATTGGGATGCTGGACAAACAGAAGGAGCTTGATGCTAAAGTTAAGGCTGTAAAAAACAGTGTAATAGTAAGTATATAACTATTTGAAGTAGTGTTTGTTGATTCACAGATGTTGAAAAGCTTTCAGTACGTAAGACTTTCTAAAATGACAAATAAAAGTAAGGTAGTGATTTGGTTTTGAAGTCTATAACCAGTGATTGTCTGAAAATAGAAAGTAATTATTTGTCAGTAGCATCATAATACAGATTGGGATTTGAATGGTTTAGCAAGATCAAATTTCTTGGGCCTAAGTTTTAGCAACAAAACCATTTTACCCATCTGAAGTACTAGCAACTGAGAAAAAAACCCTTAAGAAATGATATACTGACTAATTTGTTGTTAACTAGAAGATAGATTTTCATTTAGCATGTAGGTGTTCATTGTCTTAACAGTAAACTTACTGTCATGACAGAAAGCTTTTTTCCAAGCAATACCTAAGAATTTGAAAGTTTGTTTAAAGTGCTGTGTGCTGTTCCAAGTTTTTCCACTGTAGCCTAGGTTCTGCTAAAGTCTGTGAACTTACATGGCTAGACAATGAGGGCTTTTCCATATTTTATAATTAACAAATTTTAGTTAGCTGAGATGAGGGAAGGAGAGTGAGTAGATGGTGATGAAGTTTAGGGATCTTTCCCGATAGAGAGTTCCAGGAAAAGGCATTGCTACAGAAGTGGACTTCATCTCTGTAAAGGGCTGGTACCAGGCAGTTCCTAATCAGAAGTAGTCTTGCATTACATGACGGTATTGAATAATTGTGGCCACCTTCTTTGTGCTTTATAGGATGTAGAACAAGACATCAAGACATTAGAGGATATGCAGGATGAATATGACTTTAAATGTAAAACCTTGCAGAACAGAGGTGAGTCATTTATCAAGGACATATGCTATTGTGTATGGCTTGTAAGAGTAAAATCTGCTATCTTATGTCAGGAAACTAAGCCTAACAACGTGCAGCCAGACTACAGGTAACGTCCCTCGTTCAATTCTGCTTCATACTGAAACCTAAACTCCTGAAAATGCATTCTCTGCATCTGTCTGTTCTGACAAGTAAGAGCCTCTGTTAACACAGCATTCCTTTGTCCTTTACATCCCTTGTCTACTACAAATAGCAAACCCTATAGACTCTGACCATTCAACCATACACCTAAATGGTTACGTGTAGGCTTCTCTTCGCCATCTTGCATTTCACAAATGCCTGCCTGCTTCAAGTTTTATCAGCCCTTGTGCGCCAAGGAAAGCACATGCAGCTGCAGTCCACGCTGGTTTAATTATATAGATCTGTCTTTTTTGACTACTTTATTCTAAAAAAGGCTTCCATTTCCAACACAAATTGGCAGTTGACTGAAGGGGGGACATGTTCAGAAGATATTAAGGGGAGCATCGAGTCTTGATCTTGCTCTTTGTATGGCAGATAGTGCTTCCATGAGGTACCTTTAACTTAAGGTCAGTAGGCAGAGGTGGTAACTAGGGCACCTGCGTAGTATCTGCCAGCCTGGGCTACCCTCAGGAGGCTTTAAACATCCTCCCTTGAACCAACTTGGCAACAGAAGTAACTGTTAAGTAATAAGAATGACTCATGTTGGAAGTCAGTATGAGAACAAATTGCTCTGTGTGTATCTTTACACAACAACTATTTTAAATCAAGTTCTTGCTCTAAAAAGCAGGCAAACTCATATCTCAATTACTTCATTGGGATAATGGCTTTTCCTTGCATTAGTGCTTTAAGTGTAGACTCTCCTTTCAGAAGGAAGAAAGGAAGAATTAAAAAAAAATCTAGGAGGCAGTAAATGTTTCCTCCCTTAAGCTTTGAAGATATACTTCACTTGACATTAGCCAGGCAGGTCCCCTCCTACCCCCTAGTGTTTCCCCCCCACCCATACTTCCCTGTTCTCAGAAGGGCATGACCTGTTGCACTCCTTCAGCTTCACCTTCACAATTTGGACTTATTTTACAGAGCATGAGTCCAATGCTGTGTCACAGGAGGAATATAAGAAAGAACAGATGAATCTCAAGAAGATGTTCTTATCACTTGACCTTAAGAGAAAGGTAATGCTCTAGTTTTCTTTCAGAAGGCAACAGCACTTCATTTTTAACACATGTTCATTTTCATTGGGTTGACATGAAAACTTTTCTACTACTATCAGATTACCTAAGATTTCATTCTTTCCATCCTGACTGAAAATCTAGAATCTCCGTAAGCAATTAGATTTCTGTTTTAGCAACCTCTATCAAACTCTGTCAGATTTTGCCCCACTTCTGAAAGAACAATGAGAGGGAAAAGTATCATATCAAGAGTCATGTTCTTGAGGAAACACTGATTTAAAAATTTGCAACTGTATTAAAGTGTGCTCACTTGTTGCAGCACTCAAGTCTACAGCAAGCAGACAGTGATCTCAGATACACACTTGGGACATACGTGTATGTGAGACAACAGCTCTTCAGGATTTAACAATACTGAACATGCATTGTTTCTCCACTTAGTTTAGCAATTACTCCAGCTAAAAAGAAGCAGGTCTTTTAGAAAACATCCTCTGTTGACAGAAACTATTACTTTGAGGTCCTTGCAAAGTTTTGCAAGACAGATAGCATTAGCCAAAAGAGTACTTAGTTTTCCTGTATGAAGTATTTTAATTTAATGTTCTCTATAGGAAGTGGTGAACAAAATAGTACAGCTGCTGAACACCACAGAGCACACACAGAGTGCTCTTATTAATGAGGAGCTGGTGGAGTGGAAGCACAGACAACAGACTGCATGCATTGGTGGCCCACCCAATGCCTGTCTTGACCAGCTGCAGAACTGGTAAGTCCCTGGTCAAGGGCTGCATTGGACAGGAACTTGAAGTGTTATGAAGGAGCACCAGATCTGTGAAATATACTGATTATTTATATTAGGCATTTTCACTCTGTCACAGCATAACTACATTTCATTAATTTTGTTACCTCACCACATTTCCAATGAGCAAGAATTGTTCTCTGTGCACTGTCTAGTCCTTAGGGACAGTCACCTGGCTGGTGTCTCAGCATTATTACAATACAAAAACATGTTAAAAGTAATAAGACTCTGTAATTGTAGGTTCACTGTTGTTGCTGAAAGTCTGCAGCAAGTTCGTCAGCAGCTCAAAAAGCTTGAGGAACTGGAACAGAAGTTTACCTACGACCCTGATCCCATCACAAAAAATAAACAAGTTCTGCAGGACCGAACATACAGTCTTTTCAAACAACTCATCCAGAGGTAACAGACAATAACAGTCTTTTTGTGTTTGCATAAGATAAATACATACTAGATTCTCCAGCCTTTTGTCCACAGACACATCCTCTTCATCCCCAGCATAGGTAGGCCAGCCCTATCTCTGTACCATCTATACAATGCAAGTTACCGTAACTGGTAATTGCCCCACATAAGATCAGGATCCCATTCTGGAAACCTACAGTAGACAATAATTCATGCTTCAGAAGACTTGAAACTAGCAGATAAGAGCAGGGGCTTAGATACAGTAGGTAACACCCTGTATGGGGTTTTAAAACCCAGGTTTCCAGAGTCCCATTCAGATGCTTTGACCACCAGTCTTCAATTGGAAAACAGATACTGCTTTCAATGAAGTGAAGGCGATGAGGAAGAGTTGTAGAAATCCAGCTGCTCTTTAGTTATCTGTTAGCTGCTGTTTAGCTGTCCTGCCTGTGAGTGTAGCAGAAGGAAAAGTCTCCATGCTGCCTGGGACTTGGTAACAGTAGAAATACTTCAGGATTTACATCTACACAGCACAATACTACACAAAAGGTGCCCAAGACCAGTTCAGGGTGTATCAGAACAGGTTAGCTAGCCCTCATCAAATCCCCAGCTAGTTTATCTAGTTTTTGGGCTGTTACATAGCACTATAGTCATAAGAATTTAGCAAGTGCTGGGAACAGTAAACGAAGCAACACTTCTCACTTGGATTATGCTAGTTACATCAGTGTTTACACATTGATTTCAGGGAAATTTGAGGTAGTACTTTCCTCCCTCAAGTCATCAATATTTAGGAAAAGCCAGCCCTTATGAAATCACTTTATACTTGCAGTATTTTTAGCCCCATTGATAAAAATGAAAGAAACCAACATACAGACCTCTGTGTAGATTGAAACTGAATGAATAAAGTGTATAGTACTACTGGTAAATCACCATTCTTTTAAAGTTTGCTTTTTATGTAATTTCTTATTCTTTAAAGACAATACTGATAAACCAAAGTGCCTTTAATCTGTTCTTCCCATAGTTCCTTTGTGGTAGAGAGGCAGCCTTGCATGCCAACACATCCTCAGAGGCCATTAGTCCTGAAGACAGGAGTACAGTTTACTGTAAAGCTGAGGTATGTTTTCACCTTCCCCCTTCTTGTTTTGTGGTAAGCCTTTCATGTCACTGGCTTCATACAGCCAAGAGGATTGCACATTTACACAGTAGCCCAAGTGCTAAGGTCAGGAGAAAGAAAGTACCATGTGGCAGGGAAATATCTTCTAGCAAAGCTCAACATGCATTCAGCTTTTACCCTTTACCAGAAGTCAAGGGTATTGAGTGTATTAGCAGAAGACATATGCAGATCACTTCATCATGCAAAAGAAAACTCATTTGCCCATCTAGTTTCCTCTCTAAATGCTATCTTGTACAGAGCAAGCTTGGAGCCTGTATGTGGCCCCGAGGTGCGCAGCTTAAATATATCTGTGGTATGCAATGTGATAGAAGAGAACTTGTCTTTTGCAATTGCCATCATTTAAAAAAAATTTCTCCTTCCAGATTGCTGGTGAAATTGCAGGAATTGAACTACAACTTGAAAGTGAAAGTTTTTTTTGATAAGTAAGTTTCATTTTTCTCATCCCTGCGTATCTAATGGTAAGCAGTCCCCGTGTTCAGAAATCTGAAAGGCAGTCATATTGGCCAGGAGTAGGCTGGTTCTCCATGGCAGCAGGTACATTCTCCCTTTTTCTTACCTGTGCCCTTGCTTTAAATCTCTCTGCCATTAGAGACATGTCACAAAGTACAGGCAGCCTCAGCTTCTTGCCACCAGCTCCACTCAGGTGCACCAAGGGGAGCTTACACCATGAAATCAGTCCAGGCAGAGCGGCACTTGGGCAGTACATGCACTGCAAAGCCACTTCTCTGTTGTGGTTGTTTCTTTTGGGCTAGCCCTAGGTGAAAGCATAGAATTAAACTCCACTGTTCCCAGTCACATAATTCAGTCGTGTCTTTAAAACACCTTACTTTTTAGGAAGCCTCTAGCAAGGAATCTAGCTATCCTAAAGCTTGTCTTTGAATTAGGGGTATAAACAGTCTACCTTTAACATATGATTCTCAATTAGTGAAAAAACTTACAGTAATCTAAGCAGACTACTATCAATCTTTTGTAAGCAAGTTCAGCTTTTTGTAAGCAAAACAGTTCAGATGAATTTAGCACTTGCTTTAAGGGCAGGGAAAGAAATGTAACAGGCTCTCCAAAATCACAACAGTGGCTGTACTTTTAAGAGGGTATTTGTCTTCCCATTCAAGTCTTTAGGGGGTATTCTGTTCACTTGAAACAGCTCTAGGGTCCAGAAACTTTCATGGAATGGGGAAAAAGAAAAGAAATTCTTACGTGGATGTGGGAGCTGAGGCTTTGAGAAGTGCACTGGATATAACACAACTCAGTAAAATCCCAAGCAGTGGGAAAACAAGATTCAAGTGACACAGCAATTTATTCAACAAGTTGTGTTGTTTGAAAGCAAATTTAGAATGACTGCACTATATTTTTTTTTCCTCAGGGCAAGAGTTAAAACCTATATAGTAAAAGAAAGGACTGTCTGATTATAAAACCCCCATGGCAAAATTCAAGCCTCAGTAAAAGACAGCCTGTGTAGCACAATATTTGTTGACTCCTTGAACCAGCTGCCTCTTTCGCACAAAAAGATTTCACAGAAGCATTTTACCAGTGCTCAGTCAGCTGCTAAAACAAACATGCACTTTTTCTCTGTCTGTGGCAGAATCTTTAAAAGATTTTTCTCTTGTCTTTTTTATTTTTGACAGAGATGTAAGTGAGAAGAACTCAGTCAAAGGGTATGTAGCATTACACTTTGGTATATGAATGTAAGGTTCTTTCAATGATTTTGAGACTCAATTCTGTTCCATCCCTCTTTCTGAAGGTTCAGAAAATTTAACATTTTGGGAACAAACACAAAAGTAATGAACATGGAAGAATCTACTAATGGAAGTCTAGCAGCAGAATTCAGGCACTTGGTAGGGGATTTTTTTTTTTGCTTTTATTGACACATCCATTTAATTGTGTGGGTAGAGGGTGTGGTAGGAAGGAGACAAATTGCTTTTGTTATTGAAATCATTGTTTACTTTTGTGTATGAGGAACAGTGATCATCTCTCCTTTTTCTTTGTTTTTTCCCTTTTTGAAATGTTTGGCCTGTTTCAATTGAAATGTAATTGGGCCAGAAATGCAAACAGGTATTTGCTGCAATACAGCTTATGTTGCAATGCATTCTTTGGAGAAGGAAGAAAAAGCAGCCTAGAAATGCTGTTTTGGGCCTTTCAGAGGAAGGCAAATAAGTAGGAAAGCTTGGAGTAGTTTAAAGAGTGTTGAGTCCGGAAGATTAAAGTTGTCTAGGAGCATGCAGCTACAAGAAATTCAGGGCCTTCAGCAGACTATACAGCACTCTTGATCTGCAGACAGAGAGAAGTCAGGCTGGTTCCATTGTTACAACAGGAAAGAAAAAATGCAAGTCCTGAACCAGTGAACATGGAAGTCTCCCTTCCTCTCTTCACTATCCAGAACAGAATTTGGTCTGGAATTTGTTGTCCAATTTTTCATCTGATCCTTCCTGCTTTTGTGCTGCTTCTGTTCTTAAAAGGCCTCTTACATAAAAGCACTACATCATAACAGTGCAATATCTATTTTCACAGATGAATAGTTTGTAGAAGTAGTAGTTACCTACAGTTTAATCCTTTGCCTTCCACAGCTTAGAACCAAATAGATTCAGACAGTGATACAGCAAGTTTGCATACAGTTGAGCAGCTAGAGCATGCAAATGTTTCCATCCTCTCCCACTTTCATTTGTGGCAGAGGTAAACAAGTGACAGGTTTTCTTGTTTGTTTGCAGCAACTGAAAGAACAGAAGAATGCAGGAAACAGAACAAATGAGGTAAGCAGCACTACCCTTGTTTGTTAAGCCTTTTGCGTAATCTAAAAAGGCATTCAGGCATTTAAGACAATGCTCCACTCAGCCCCATGAAGAAACACACAGGATGACAGATCAGTAAGAGGAATTCAGTGTTTCTAGGAAGTGATCCATGTAGGAGGCATCTACAAGCAAGAACTACTGCCAGAATGGTTGTCCCTCTGGACTAACCCTCACTGGCATCAGCTTTAACAGGAGTTTCTGGCAAGGACAGATTTTTTTCCTATGGCTTTTAGGTAGGAGCCAAAAAAACCCCACAAAAGGTACCTAGAGTACCCATTCTAACAGGCAGTTTTAGGAAGTTAGCATTGTCACTTGACTTAGACCTGTAAATTGTTTCTGAGGTCTATAGCAAGTAACCTTGGGCAGAAGATTCCCCCCCCCCATGATAAATTCCCTTACTTTCCCCTCAAACAATTTTCAGTCCCTGAAATGTTGCTGGTGTGTTTTGGTTTTTGTTTGGTTGTTTGTTTGGTTTTTTGTTTTTTGTTTTTTTTTTAAAGGGTCCTCTCATTGTAACAGAAGAACTTCATTCTCTCAGTTTTGAGACACAGCTGTGCCAGCCTGGCTTGGTAATAGACCTAGAAGTAAGTCTTAGATTAAACAGATGGACTTAAAATTGTGTATATCACTCATGCTGACAATTTAAACTTTAATTTTTTTTTTCTAAAGTAGTGGCATATCAAGCACTTTCAGTTATTTCAAACTACATGAATGACGCTTTACAACATCTCTGTATAGACACATACAGCAAGAATGCTGTCAAATCTCCGGGTAAATAAGAGTAGATGTGCTTTGCAAAGTGATTGATAACCAACCCTATGTTTTAAGCTCTTTAGGTGTCAGCTTCCATTTATTTCAGAAGCAATATGCTATGAACTCTACCATAGCTATCAGTGCTATCATAACTGATACTAAATGAGTCTTTATCAGACAAAATCACCTAAGTAGTCCAGTACTTCATCATACTGATGTTTTCACCCCCTACATACAAACATTGAGTGAAAGAGTTAAGACCATGCAAGCAGGGAATTACAATGGAAATGGGTTTGTGGGTGATCTAGAGGAGGACCTCAGCAGCAGTACAGGATAGTCTGACATGTTTCCTTTTGTGTCCCTTTCAGACCACATCCCTTCCTATTGTTGTGATCTCAAATGTGAGCCAGCTTCCAAGTGGATGGGCTTCTATCTTATGGTTCAACATGCTGTCTACTGATCCCAAGGTATTTGCAAAAAAAAAAAGGTATCAGAAATACTGTGTGTAGTTTTCAAGCATTGGCTGTATAGAAGTGGTTGCTGCATGTTTTCCATGTGGATTGCTCTCAGTGGCTTTTAGGTGTAGAGAGGCAGTGACTTCCCTGTCCTAAACAGAGCAATGTTTGAAACCCACATAAGGATAGCATACTTTGTATTCAGTACATGCAGTACACAGTGAGAAGCCATATAAACATTCAAGAATTCAAATACAGTGCGCTTGAGTAATCTAGGAATTCTACCCACTGAGAGAAGATACATCGAAAGCAGAGTCACAGAGATTGCTTTTCCTGGTAAGGGGTGCCTGTCAGAATAGTAGCCTGCTTTTGCAGAGTTGTCTGAAGCTGGCATCCATTCTTAAATCTGCATTTTGTTTTGGCAATACAGTCCTATAAATTCAAGTGTCGTTCCAAAATTAATGTTTATTAACTGTAGATTGTATTTTTCCCTTCCATTCTAGAACTTGTCCTTCTTTCTGAATCCACCTTATGCAAAGTGGTCTAAACTTTCAGAAGTTCTGAGTTGGCAGTTTTCTTCTGTAACAAAGAGAGGACTTAATGCAGATCAGCTGAGCATGCTGGGAGAGAAGCTACTTGGTATGGTCTGCTTCCATCACAAATGGCCTGGTTGAATTGAAGCTAATTCTACATTTTTTTCTGCAATCTATTTTAATTTTTCATTTACTCTCACACCTTTTCCCCTCATACAATATCCCTTTATAGCAATAAAATGTTACCTGGTTTTCAACATGGTAGTTTGTAAATGAACATCAGGTCATGAAAAAATCTGCAGTTCTAACTTAGGTGTTCTGTGCATTAGAGCACTGCAGATCAGGGCTGCTTCTGCCTTTTGGAGAGCTACCCAAGTAATGCATATGTTTAGTTGATCTTAAAGGTGGCTGTTTCTTGGCTTTTTTTGGTTTTGTTTTTAAATCTATCTCCATTAATTTTAATTCCATGCACACCCTTGACTATAGTGAGGGCTTGGCTTTATCTGCATAAACACAGTTGCAATATAAAGTGCAAACACTATGGAACTATTAAACTAAATCAAATTTAACATCTCCCAGATGAGAGTGTTTAGTAAAAGCCTAATCAGCCATGAGTTTTGTTTCCAGACTTCTTGTCAGGTTGCCTGATAGTCAGGGCACTTGACACTGCTACTGAGTTTGCATAATAGACTCTAGATAAAAATACTGTTGATTCAGTATATTCCACTAACCTTAAGTTTCAGGAAGAATTTATATTTAAAGGTCTAGGTCTCTAACACTAGCAGCATCAGAAACAAGCTCCCTAGCCCAGTTTATTTTTAGAGAGATGAAAGGGAAAAGCAGCACATTTCTGACTTTATTGAAATCCATAGCATGATCTGTAATGAAAAGAATTTGGCTCCAAGTACAGTCAGGGTCTGCAAAGCTCTAGCTACTGTAGTCACAGGATAGGATTATATTTGTGGTTTGGATGTGGTTATGAAATGCTGTTGACATGAAAACAAGGCAGAGGGAAACAATTGCACCAAGAATGAGATGAGTCTATGGTTGGGGCAGACAAGAGTTTCTGGGGCAAAAGCTTACAAGCCAAAATTGAGGCACAAAATTGTGTAACCTCAGAAGGATTCTGTAGGGTCTGCTGAGCTCCTACCAAAAAAGCGTATGGGGTGCAGTTTTCTTGTTTTGCTGGAGAAGGGATGTGCTGAGAAGAGATTTCAGTCTCCTTCCTGGAAGCATTTTGAAACTGGCAAGTGCTAAGTAAAGCACAGCATAGAAGGTGTCAGAATGAATCGGTTCCCATTACACAAGGTGTGTTTAAATACATTTGGTCATTCTGATGCAGTGAACTTCTCCAGAGGGGAGCACTGCAAGCTCTTCCTGCACTAGCTGTGAAAATACTGTAGCCTTCCGTTTCTTTTCTTAGTCCAATGGTTCAGAGTTGTTGTAAATAAGCACTCAGAACTTGGTGCTAAGTACTTTCCTTTCAGACTTAAGTAACCTATGGAACATGACTGAAGTCAGTTTATTCTATTCAGGGCCAACAAGTGGAGGATCTCACGATGGCCTTATTCCTTGGACAAGATTCTGCAAGGTATGAACAGAGTTTAAAAGTGAGATGGAAGAGGGAGCTTTGTCTTCGTTGGTTGTGGGGTTTTGGGGTTGTTTGTTTTTCCCAGGGTGCTTTCTTTTTCAGTACTGCACCCTAATTATTTTAGAGCTTACGTGGTTGTGGGAGGTTTTGGTGGTGAGGTTAAAGCAGCAGCAGAATGGGGGTAAGGGGCTTGTAATAGCAAGGAGTAGATGATTTTGAGATTGCTTTTGAGCCATGTAAACTATATGGAAAAATGCATCTTTCGAACAGCATCTTTGTTATTAATGCAGTTGCTATTAATAGAATAGTCCTCCATTTTAACTATTACAGAAAATGTCAAAAAACCCAGGAAGATGAGCAATTCTCCTCTGTCATAGTGACAGGCATTTCCCAGACCAGGGTCAACTGGATTAGGGTGAAGATTAGCACAGGGTGGCCAAGAGGGTGAGCCTGATGGCAGAAAGCCACATCAGGAGATATCATAACCCTGGCTGCAGCAAGACAGGAGGGCTCTTCACGTTTTCATCAGCTTTAGGCCCTAAGCAGGTATAGATAAGCAGACGACAGCAGGCAGGAGCAGACTCCAGAGGAAGAGCAAAGCTCTGGTGACCTACAGGTGCTCAAGTTCATTAATATGGGTGTCTCACAAGAAATTTGAGTCTGAACAGAACATGTCTCTAAGATGTTTTGCTAGCCAGCCGGGTTGAAAGCCCCATGGGACAGTCTGGATGTCCAAGAACTCCAATAAGGACAGTGCCCAGGCAGGAACCAGAGCCTTTGCTCTGCTCTTAGACCAGGTACTGTAGGCTCAGGCAGGCATTTGTCACACTGCTCTTGCCTCAGGATTCAGTACATGCTTCATTCTCAATAGTTTCTTTCCTTCTGGAGCAGAGAAGCAGAAAAAAAAAAAACCCAGGGAGGGTGGGAAATAAGAAAGAGAGGAGAAAAGTGCAAGAACAAGTAGACATTGGCAGGATTGAGAGCTTGCTTCCTCTCTGCTTAAAGCTCATGTTTCATCATCCCTGCCTTTCTGTATTCTTAATTTCAGGAAAATATAAGTGATAAAAATTTCCCCTTTTGGCTGTGGATTGAGGGAATCCTGGAACTTATTAAGAAACACCTCCTGTGTCTCTGGAATGATGGGTAAGACCTGAGTGAAGTTAAAGATGTGGTCATTGCCTCAGACCCCTCATTTAAGCTAGTAGTTGCATCCTCAGGTTGTGAGGTTGTTTGTGCAGATATTTTGAATCCAATAAAGTGGAACTTACAACCAGAAAAATCCAAGGCAAATGAATTCTAACAGTGAGGAAGCCTCTAATGAGGCAACCACATAAAGCAAAAACATCAGATGACCAAGTTACAGAACAGGCCTTCGAAGGTTAGGTATTTTTTTTTGCCTCTGCTCCCACTCTAAGTAGGTTCTTTCCACACCGTAGAACAGAGCCTCTCGTGTTTGACAGGAAAGACTGAAGTACAACAAAGTACAAGTCAAAGTGATCGTCCATCTTAAATAAAAAGGCAAGAAAACCTACCCCCAAGCAAACATTATTGTGAGCCTCCTGTAGGTGGCAGCAGCCAGACTCTGAACTTCTGTATCTGCACTATGAGCCCAGAAAGTAGCCTTCACCGACTCTTACTAGTAAGACTCTGCCAGATGGAAAACCAGTTCCATTCGCCCTTCAAGAAAGTAAACTTTTTATTCTGTTATTGCCGATTTCAGAAGTAATTGCTTCCAGAAATGGGTTTAGCCAAGGTCACAATCCTGCATTTTAGGTTTAGCCACATTATGAAACCTAGTCAGCAGTGCACTCATACTAGAGCATGCTAGTATCACAGCTTGCAGGATCTACAACAGCAGCATTGCTCTGCTGCTACATCCAGCAGCAGCAGGCTTCAAATTATTACCTGCTAGCTCCAGATGAGTTCTGTCAAAGCCCTTTATAGTACAAGCCCTGTGTCACTGCCTAAAAGCTACATATTTCTTCACTAAATGGACTCCAGTTCAGTGGGAACTTTTGCCACCATTATTGAAGCAGAATTGTAGTTCTGTCCTATTTGGTGCTGCACCTCAGTATGGCTGTGTGCCTACAGGATTGGTTTTGCCAGTGGCTTTCATAGTGTACAGTCTTGAATAGCATTACTCATTGCTCTCCCTTATAAGAGCAACCCCCTGTTTAGGGTTTAACAGAAAGAAGAGGTGCAAGCTAAATCTTGAATGTAATCAAAACCAGAGATTTAATAGTATTCATTTTTCCTCTCTCAGCTGGCTTTGTTGGATAGTCACAGATCTTTGTTTCTTGGAAAGGCAAAAAGGGAAAACTCTTGCCAGCTGCAGAGATACTCAAGTGGGAGAGGGACAAATCTATAGTATTCATTAGATTAGAGACTCCCCTTGTATACAAAAGAAAAGTATTACAGCCTCAAGAGCACTTGTCTTCATACTTGAAGGATTGAAGGATGGGGAGGCAGAAGACTTATACACAGAATATTTACTGCCAAATGTTACCTAAAGCATGCCATTAAAAAAAAAAAAAACAAAACACAAAACCCTCATAAAACAGGACAGCTTACAGCATCTGAAATTCTAGGTCAAACTGTGATTATTTAGTAGGTTTTGTGCAAAGAGCACTTTCCCCTAACTTAATGCACAGGACAGTAGTAGTACTCAAAACTTGATTATTGATGAAGTATTTTGAGGAATAAAAAACAGTGCAAAGAAATTTTGACTTTTAAAAAGCAGTTGGGGTTTGACCAGGGTTATGTCCTTGTGCCGTCTTTTACAACTCCCTCCCCAGTACCTGTTCAGGCAATCCATTTCTCACAATTACCACATTGGACTCCTTGCCTACACAATGACATTTGCTGAGCATAGTGAATTTGGGGGGTTGAAGTCACACAAGCTTAACAGCTCATCTAGAAAACATGCACAAGGAATAAAACAAACCCCACATCTGTATGGGTGCAGTCTGGCAGCTAGCAAACTGTTTCATCAGCCAAAGAGGAGAAACAACTGTTCCTTAGTATACTTTTGAAGTTAAAAATGCTAGCTAGGACTTGACCGTATTACACACCTAGAACTTTACTTCTGCTTCCATAGCCCAACTTTGACACCAAAGGACAACCTCAGAAAAAAGTTTGTATAAGCCACAGGCCAAAGGAAGAGTGGTGAGGGAAGCTGTGGTGACCCATGGCTTCCACAGGGCAGTTCCAGCATGTCAGTCCTACTGCTAGCTTTCTGGCTGTTCGGAGGACAATGCCCTCTGTGAGACTCTTAAAAGAGATGAAGTAATTTTAAGTGACAAAAGCTTTTTAGCTTTCCTAGCTAGCACAGCACAGCTTAGATTTTATGTTGAGAAGAGAACTCAATTTTTTCTTTTCAACATTACAGCTGCATCATGGGTTTCATCAGTAAAGAGAAAGAGCGTGCTTTGTTGAAGGACCAGAGTCCAGGAACATTTTTGCTGAGATTCAGTGAAAGCAGCAGAGAGGGAGCAATCACATTTACTTGGGTAGAAGGATCTCAAAACGGTAAGTCAGTAACAGAGAACATCTTTGCCTTCAACATACAAGCTTATATTAGAACAAGAAGCCTTTATGCTCTTCTCATTCATACTGGGAACCAATACACTACACCACCCTAGCAGCCCCCACCTTACTAGCAACAGCAGACACATACCTTACTTGGTGTAGCTCATAAGCCACCATCCAATGGTGGATTGTTCAAGGTTTCAGCTAGGACTAGTAACACTTCCTGGGTGCTGCTTGTTGAGGACAGGCTACCTAGGCTGTCTCCCCTACCTCCTTAGGTTCTCTCTTAGCAAGACACATTTAGTACACATACACCTGCATCTCCCTCCAAACCCATATCACCTTCCCATCAGAGATTTCTTTCCCAGGAAAAGTTTGCTACAGCCACATTCAGCCCTCAGTATTGTTGTTCTCACCTACTACTTCACCTTCAGTGCAATGCTGCTTTCTCAAACCACTTTCTTTAACTCATGGTTCAACACATTTGTTCCTTCCTTCCTGCATTCTCTCTAGGTAAACAAGATATTCACTTACTTCATTTTCCAAGCAGTTCTCCTTCCTCCCATTTCCAGAAGGTCTGATGAAATGCTTGCTGCTTCAGTTAGCTGGGCTACTCTCATCTTCTCAAGGAAACCTAGAGACTCAAAACCTCCCACTCCAGACTCTTCCCTTATTATACTACTTAAATCAACCTCACCTGCCAGGATGGTGCAGCTGTTGACACTTCACTTGGATGAGCCCAAGACCTACATCAGCTGGGAGAGAAACTACTGAATGTACTAGAATTACTTGTTTCCCTTTATACCTGAGACATCCAAAAGTTAGGCAGAGAAAGGTGATATTATTTGGAGCATTCAGGGAGATGTTACCTGTCTTTCTTTATGATTCATAAGAGCTCCAGGTGGCGTGTTAGGATCAAACTTCCTAATACGTAATGCAGTTTGAATGACATGATCTGGAACAAGGTTGAAAAGGTAGCACAACTTCAATTAGTTAACAGAATATTGCAGTTAATTTCCACAGACAGGTCACCCCTGTCATTCCAAACAGAAAATACACCAAGAGCCATCAGTATATGCTATCTTCCCATAAGCCTTCCTACCCCACAAAACAATTGTGCTCCCTTTGATAGCCATTAAAAATTTACCTGCAGCACAGTAGATGTCATCAAGGTAAGTCTTTTGCTCACATGACCTCTGAATTTGTGGAAGTGGCTTCAGCTTTTCTGGACAGTTGTAGAAAAAACTTTGAAACCACCTTTAAAGAGTTGCTGCTTCTCTCATCTGCAGAGCCCCAGTTCCATTCGGTAGAACCATACACCAAGAAGGAACTCTCTGCTGTTACTTTCCCTGATATCATTCGCAACTACAAAGTGATGGCAGCTGAAAACATTCCTGAAAATCCACTGAGATTTCTGTACCCAGATATACCCAAAGACAATGCCTTTGGCAAATACTACTCCAGGCCTAAGGAGGGTGAGTGCTATAAATGGCTCATACAATGTGTGATGTTTGTTCTTGAGGTATTTGAGCACTGTGTAATTTCAGTGGCACAGAAAGAAAGGGTAGCAGTTGGACTGAATGTCTTGGCAGCCTATCCCGTGCTTGAGTGCTGCTCAGCTGAAAGGTGAGAACAGGCACCTAAGCTTTAGTAGGTTAAAAAAAGGTCTGTTTTTAGAGAGGCACAACATGAGATCTAGTCAGATCAAAAACTCAAATCATAATTGTTGCTGGCCTTCTAATTTAGCTTTCATGTGAGCCTGTGAGATACTTCAGAGATGTAGGTTCCCACTAACAGCTGGAACCATGACTTGTATTTCACTGTTACACAGGGCTGATCCTGGCTGTGTGGGCCCAGCAGGATGTGTTGATACACCTACATCAAACTTTAGGGGAGGTTTTGTTCCCCATTTTCTATAGAGGAAAAGCAAAAAAGGGAAAATGTGACTAAAAAGTGGAATGACTTAACCATAGTGCTGTAAAGTCCATGAGCGAGAGACTTGCACGTTATCTGGGTCACAAGCTTTATTTTTGGTACAATAAAGATGGCACTGTGAAGTAAACTTGCTTTAAAAAAAAAACCCACAAGCTTTTTTTTTTTTTCTCCTTGAAGCACCAGAGCCAATGGATTTGGATGGTCCCAAAGGAAACGGCTACATCAAGACTGAGTTAATCTCTGTGTCTGAAGTGTAAGTTTCCACAGAAATGCTGGAGTTCTAGGAACTGATCATAACTTTTTAGCTGTAGTTCATGTTTCTTCACAGTATTTAAGGTATAGGTGCCCCTGTCAAATCTTTCCTCCCTTTCTCTTTGAGGATCTGATCACACCACATTCATGCAGTGCTGTGTGTGAAACACCATTTTTAGGTAAAAATCCTAGAAACTTGCAGGTACTGGCAAAGAATTTCTTGAAAAGCAAGTTCTTACAGATGTGTTGGACTTACTTGATTAGAATGTAGATCACTGAGTAGTCCCAGTTTTCATTTAAAACCATGCTGGCTTTGCAAAGCATGGCTAATTGCTCACAGGCTAAGTCTCTTCCCAAGAGACCTCATTAGGGGCCCTTCTGGACTCAGAGCCAGACATGGTAGCCCAGCTGTGCCTCACTTAGTGCAGGTTTGTCTCTCCTCTTCTTCTATTAGCCACCCTTCCAGGCTCCAGTATCCAGACAATCTGCTCCCCATGTCTCCTGAAGAGTTTGATGAGGTGTCTCGGATGGTGGGCCCCGCAGAGATTGATACTGTGGTATGTATCATAAAGCAGCTTTTTGTAGGAGGGTTGAGCCAGAACTTGATTTTTTCCTTTTTTTTCTTCCCCTTCAAACACATCAGCCACTCAACATGAGCTAATGCTTTAGAACACATCTCTTCAAATGCATAGGAAAAGCTGGGAATTCAGAGTTAGACTGGGATTGCTGTTGTTCTTTCCACTTGTTTGCGGGGATGGCATGAAGAACAGGAGAGCAAAGCTGCCATAGTGTATCTTCATAAGCTTTCATAGTGTATTGGGGAAGACAGGCAGAGGAGGAAGGAGTAATGCTGTAGTCCTTCCTGTGGGAAGCTAGAGCAGGTGTGCAGCTTGGAAGTGTTGCCCTGCCAATGCTGGCAAGGTACTGCCTGTTAACAGAACAGCAGCATCTCCTTTTGGGGTGTACTTCAGGAAAAAAATTCCAATGAAAGCATGGCTTTCCCCACCCCCATGGCAGTTTGATCCCAAGATGTGAATCTGGTGCTGTTTGGAGAGGACATGGCTGTGCTCTGTGGTTAGCAAAGACTGGAGTATTAGAGGTTTACATGGCTTGTTTAGTTGAAATTTACTTTTCTCGTTGCAGATGTGTTCAGCATATTCAACTTAAAAGACGGGCTTTTTACTGCATCATTAACACAGCTGATTAGCTTGTGCATCCTGCTCTGCAGTCAATGACTTGGTGACACGCTTCACTTCAATTCTTTGGTTTCTCAACCTGAAGGTCCAGTAGCAATTTTTAACTAATGGGAATATAAACAGCACTCTTGAGTAGCTTCCTTACATGCACTGTTTTTTGTTTAGAAGTTCTCTGTTAAAAGAATTTCCAGTTAGCGAGGTACTGTGTCACAGTGGAGGAAGAGAGGAAGGCTAGGAACGAGAGGTCCTCAGCAAGAGTGGTGGGAGAAACATGCAGTTTTTGTTTAAGGGAATTTAGTTAAATTTAACATTTAAAACAGTTGACTCTACATAGAAGGCTTCAAAGGAAAGCTAGTTCTTTTGCAAGGTTCTGTTCAGAAAGCTTCCACCTTCTGTGTAACTATTTCTGAAGAACTTTCATAGCTTCAAATTTTCATCTGCATCACCATTCCAATCATCATCAGGAAGAAGAGAAACACTCTGCAGGTATATGCCACACTAATCCATGTGGTGCTGAAGTTCGTCTTGGTTTTATCTTTTCTAAGGGCATGGCATACTGAGAAAACATAAGCCAAACATTATCTGCATTTCATTTTTGCTTGTTTGTTAAGGCAAGGTCTTCTTGTGTGAAAAAAACTCTTTCTCATAAAGAGCACTTCTTCGGACACCACCTTAAAGCTGCATTGGCATACGCTGAGCTTGCAACTCAACGCATTCAACCAAGACTAAAGCCTCTACAGACTGCAGCCATACTGTCTAGCATCATTACTGGACAAAACAAGAAGCTAATCTTAAACAGTGCAAAAGGGTTGGAGTATGTTTTCACTCACTGTGCCTAATCTACCAAGGTGAGGATCTGGTCACTCATTTACAATAATACATGCCCCATTTAGGTTATAACAGGCGGAATGGAACTTAATTTTCTCATGCACTAAACAGGGCATTTATTTAACTGTAGATTTGAATAGCTAGAGGACCCTACAGGCTTTGATAATTAAGTGTTTTTCTAATTAGGGATAAGGCACAGGAAAGTGAAGAAGTTCAGTTTGTACTGAGTCATGGCTGCAGGATATGCAATCTTTAGTACTTAACAGATGAAGTTGTGCTTCCACCAGAGGAGGAAAAAGTGTGTTTCTCAGCATGTTTGAAGATAATTAACTCACAGTTAAGAGGCAAAGTTGTCTTAAGCAGCTGGTCTCTTGGACTAAGGACATGTATTAGTCCGGGCTGCTAATCAACACGCAGCCGAGCAGAGGGACTGCAGAACACTCATGCTGCATCCCACACATTTAGGTACAGGACCTGGGCAACCAGCTCTAGGTGGCCCTGCTTGAGCAGGGGGGTCAGACAAGATGACTTCCAGAGGTCCCTTGTGACCTCAACCCATCTGAGACCAACACTGGTTGCAGCAGCAACTTCTCAGCCCCCTGCTGTCTGTTCCCAGTGCTCGGAGGGTGGTGGCGGCCAGCGTGACTCACGGGGACTGCAGGGCTACTTCTCTACCATTCAGAAATGCTACATCGATCAGCTGCTGCTTAGAAAGTAGCTGACTAGTTCAATTTAGTGTGTTGTGCCCAGGAAGACTGATGTGCTCCCTGCAAAAGCTCCAGAGAAAGAAAATTTGAGGGCCCTAGAACATGTAACACATGTTTAAATGGAAAGCATTGCTAAGCTGACTTGGTTTTGGTGCCCTGGGTTACAGAGGTTAACAGTGCTACAGAATAATCACAACTGGCAACTTCATGCTTTTATCTTACTATAACTAGCTGAATGTGTAGCTTGGTTGCAATACAAAAATCAAACACTTGTTTCTTAAGCTGTATCTTGTACTCGTGTTCTACAAGCAGCAGTTTGTTTTCATTGCTTTTATACTTCATCGACAAGGGTGAAATTTTCTTGAAAGATTTAAAGCAATGGCCTTATTCATGGCTTTGTCTCTACCTGGCCAGTAGTTCCAAAAGCAATGTTTTTTTTCCACGATGGAATATTCTTTTTTGCCATTTTAAATAAAAGGAAACATCAGTTGACACTTTTGTTCTCTTATGTGTGTTGGCTACTTCTGTTACAGAGCTGATGTGCCTGACAATAGTTACTGTGCATCTCATTTTAAACTTGTTTGTGCAACTAAACAGGTACAGCCCTGCAGCCCAAGGCAGCAGAGATGTTTTTCATGCACTGCACTGTTGCAGGTCAGTCTGCATTGTAGAGTTCTTAGAAGGTAGCTCTTAGAATTATTTTTTTTTTAATTATTGCTTGTATCACATCACTGATTTTTTTTTTCTTCCCCAACCAAACTTCAGTAAACTCAACCTGAATTTCTAATTAGAGTTGATCAGTAGGATAACTGAGCTACATCTGAACTGTGAACGATCAAGCCAGCCCACTGCTGCATCATTTTTCTCTGGGGCTGTGAAGTGACATGGTCTCTTGTCTCACACTTGTCAGGCTTTTATATTAACTACACAGACAGAAGAATAATAAAAACAAAGAAACTGCTGGCGAAATGAAGGATAGCAGGGGTGAAGAGTAGGGAAGAGAGACCTGTTGAGAGCACTTGGCCAATCCACTTAAGAGCCCTAGCATTAACAAAAAGCAACTGGTGAGAAGCCACAGCTCTAGAAGTGTAGGTTTAAAACAAACACACACCACCACAACCAGAAAAAAAAAAAGCAAAGCTCATTGTGATTTCCTTTAAGCTTTGCACAATGGAAATGACCAGAATAGGTTTTCCTGGACAGGCTTCCCCATGACCGAAGGCTTATTTTGAAAGCAGTCACACAGCCAAACAGTAAAACCCACCACCACCACCATCATCATTTTGGTATTTCCATTTATTATGCTGTAAAAAGCAACACTATCTGGATTTTATTTCTTAAAATAAATAACTTTCATTTTCAGAACAGTACAGCTCCAGTTTAGATTCATTCATGGGAAACTGCTAGAAATACATTCATCACTGTCTATTCCCCACAATACAGAATCTAGAAGTCAAGATCAGCCCAGTCAGTTACAATGACCAGAAGTACACTGCCAGCAAGTATAGTCACCGATAGTCCAGCTCTGAAGCAAAAAAATCTGATACAATACATTTTGTTCACAAAGATAGGCTAATTAATGCTAAGACTATCACAGTATTTCTGAGTACAAAGCATTAAGTTAGCTTAATGATTTTAGGTTGTGATACAGAAGAAACATATATGACATAAAAACAAAGGAGTGGGGAAATCCTCTTTGGAGCATAAGGAAATCAGCGTTTGATAGATAACCAAAAGCTATTTACGGTAAAATCTACATGTCAGTGTCATGAATGATAAACAGCCAAACCGATGTACTGCATGTATTTATATTTATAAATAACGCCATGTCTAAATAGCTGCATCGCTGAAGTGGACATTACAAAATAATGCATCTTCTCACAATGAGAAAATACTAAAACTAACCAGCAAAAATGCACTGAAGTGAAGACCAGCTAAAAGCATTCAGTATGATTCAGGAAAGCATTAAGTTTAGGGATAGCCACGATCTTTAATGTTAACTCGGTTAAAATCCTTCTTTGGGGTTTGGGTTTTTTTTTAATGTATGTGTGTTATATAATATACCTATCTTTTAAAAATGCCAGTTTGAGCAATGCAAATAAAGGCTGAATCAGGTATTTTTCTGAGAAGCCAAAGGATATGTTTTAATAGGGGGAAAAAAATCCACAGAAGTAGTCAGATTTAGAATACTAAACTAGAATCCATCTGAAAAATATCCCTCTACACTAAAGTTGACAGATCTGTTGCCAGAGAAAACGTGTCAGAATTTAGTTTAGGGTAGAGCAGAGAAGAGGCCTTGTGCTACTCAGTGACTGATGTGGCCCAAGAGCCAGAGGCCATTTCTTTTAGTTCTTGGTTAGAATTTGGTTACAGTGGCTGTAACACAGGACGTGAGAAGAACGGGTTAACAGCCCTCAGAAAAATAGCTGATCTTCAGGGGGAAAGAAAAAAAAAAAAAAACAAACACACCCACACACAAAAGAGCAGCTTAAGAACAGTAAGATTCTTGAGAAAAAGTGTTTGATAACCATGCGAGCCAGCTTCGAAATGCTACTTCAGGGCTTTAGACTTATAGACTCTTCCAAGATTTCATCACCATGAAGACAGTCACCGCTTGTGATGAGTATCAAGCACTTTTCCATGTGATCTGTCCTCCCTGCAGGGAGGCAGTATGGCGTGTTGACGAGAGACTGTACAGGAACTCGGGAGGATTTATTCTCAACTATACTGACCTGCTGGGTCACTCTGGAGAAATTACTTCTCTCTGTGCCTTAGTGCGTACCCATTTGCAAAAGGAGGATAACGTGGTTCAGATCATCTTTATAAAGTGCTCGGGCCATTGTAGAAAATTTGGGCATTATTTCAGGAGGATTTTGGTGCCTTAACACAGCAAATTTGAACTTTGAGATCTACCAATGACTTGTACACTATGTGCTAGGATAAAAATAGCCATAAATCACAATTCTCAAGTACAATCTACTTTTCCAGTGCTGAACAATTTTTGCCTAAAATTCTTGTGCTAAAATTCTTGCCTATGTCCAACAACTGTGGTGTTTTGTGAATATTGAACTCTTAACTTTAAGTGACCGCTCGCTTCTGAGGTTTTGTGCCATAGCGTTGGCAGAAGCAACTGCACATGGAATAGGGACCTGTCGTGACATTGCATTTCTGCAAACAACAAACGCCTGCATTTACATTTCCCACGACAGGGCATGCGTTGAGCTGGTGTCAGTGGCAAGGCAGAAAGTGCCACTGTTCACCACAAAAGGCATCACCTACTTGTGCTCCTGTTGCTGAACTGTTGTACACCAGCAGAATCCCACCGATGCAGTATCCTGCTCCCTGGTTGATGGTAGTGCAAGAAGAGAACATACCCAAAAATTTGGCTTATCTCCTGCTCTGCTCATGCTTTGATTTGCTCTATGCTCCTTATAGCTGTTTCATTCCATTCATGTTCCTTACTACAAGCCTAATTAAGTCAGATTTACATGTAATATTTGGTTTAGTACTTTGCCTTTCACATACTTCCATTCCCCTCGCGGGTTCCAGGTGCAACTGCCAAGAACAAACACCACACGTGAGCCCAAAAGGGGGTTTTTGCAGCTTGTCAAGGCTTGCTGTAGTGCAAATACACCTGCAAGGAACACAACTGCATAGAGTGGAAGCACCCGCTTTCCCCAGGTACAGGGGAAGTACTTTAGCAGCTGAACATGGAGAGAGGAGGGAGGCGACACAAAGGGAACTGAAAGAAACGCTACAAAACCGAGAAACCCACTAAACACTATTTGATGTTACAAGTCACATTCCCCTATGCCATTTGGTCAAACAAACCTTAAAACAGATTCCCTGACACGACAATCTCTAAGAACAAGCCTAGACCATTGACAACTGTCACCTATATACTCTGTTGATATTTATATTATGTAAACAAGGTTCTGTGGAAACTATTTTTTTTAAATTTTTTTCCCAAAGGTAAGTGCAGATCCTTACTTGACACACCCAGCCTAAATCTACATCAGCATCCTCAGCTTTTGAAAAACCTCACTGATGCTCATACTTGACAGTACTCCAGCTCATCTTGGCCATACTGGAAACAGAGGGCTATAGAAACAAAAATTCAGCAGAAAAATTCCTGACCATGGACTAGAGTTCACATAGAATACAAAAAATAAATTAAGTAGTGCACAGTAAAGCCAACAACAGCTAAATATTTTTATACATCAATTATATGCAGCATGAGGTAATATTGCTCACATTATGGAGGGAGATACTTAGTTGGTTTTGCTTCTTTTGAGAGAAATTGGATTTGTCCTGTGCGTATAGAAACTCCTGTAACATAACACTGAAGTAACAGAGACTTCTGTAAAATATATACCACTATTGGATAGAAACACACACGCTCTTCATTACTTATGTATACCACAATTAAACAGGTAAGTGATTTGATTCTTAGGATCTAGCTGAAGATGATTATAGTAAGCCATCTAGATTTTTATGAACCGTTCGGTTCTCCTTCCCGTTGTTGGAATCCTCTGATGGAGTGTATTGGACCTGATATTCTTGAAGAATTTTAAATACATCATGGTGTCCAAAATGTAAAGCTTCATCCATAGGAGTGTTATTCCACCTACAGGAAGGGGAAGCACAGTATTTAAGATCAGCACGTTAAGTACAAAAGCACCAAAAATCTAGTTCTTTACATACTGTGCAAATAATTAAGCCCACAGACCACACGAAGTTCAGTAACCATGAAAATACATCATAAGCTGAGCATAACCTTTTAAATAATGGGCTTAATGGCTTCACCATGGTTTTTACTCCTGTTTGCTCTGCAGAACCTACAGAGAACCAGCAGGATCCTGTTCCTTCTGCTTCCAGCGCTCAACACATTCCACACTCATTTGATGGATGCCTCTCCTCACGGGGGCTAGGGAGATGCTGTTAGAGCATCTTTCCTCCAATCTGGAAAAAAACCCACTCACCTGTCTTTGGGGAAAGGATTCACTTTACATGCTTCTAGTAGAAACTTCACAACATCCACATGTCCTGTAAGAAAAGCAGGCTTGTGAGTATATATACTTACACATATCTATGCATACCCATACAAAGTTTTAAAAAGTAGGCACGCATATCTAGAGAGTAAAGGTACTCTAAAGAAAGCTGACCACATTCCAGTAACAGACAGCAGATCATAGATAAGGAGACATTACCTTCTGCAGCTGCTACATGCAGGGCTGTTCGTGAGTCATAGTCTCTCTGCTCCATATCCATTCCTGACAGAGCAAACCTAAAAAAAAAAAAAAAAAAAAAAAAAAAGAGGTTACAGAGAAAAGACTTATATAATTAAAACAAGTTACAAAACTAGCATGGAACAATACTCCTATGCTAAAACGACAAAACTTCTCCTGCAAGAGGATATGAACGGTAGCAAGAGCAGATTGTACCTTCAGTTATAACGAAAGGGGCCCTTATTCCTTTGGCTTTAAAAGAAGGTAGGGGGTTACCTTTTTTCCTGGTCTCTAGTTGTTACACAGAAAAATAAAATGTCTTTGCAGGAAACATATCTGATTTTAAATCTAACATAGACAAGCTAACTCATACAAGGCAAAGTAAATTTATGCCAGCTGAGGAAATCCAGGGAGGACTCTCAAGTCTGAAAATCCTCAATAGTGTTAAGCTATTGCAAGAGTTCCTTCATTGTGCTACGGTGCTCTGGGATAGCAGAGTTAAAACTCCACACATTTATCCACCCACTAACTATATTCAGATATATACTAGCCAAATTAATATATTTATCTGGTCTCTTACCATTATTACTTTAAACTTTGCCAGATTCTATTCCTGATTTAAAAAGCAAAGCTAGATTTTCTAACCCCTCCAGCAACAATGTGCATTTTCCAGCCTGAATTTTTGTGGCAGAATTGAATTACAAAGCTAGGATCTTCTGCCATCAGTATAAAAAAAACCCAAACAAACAAACTTATTATGGAAATGTATTTCACTATGATCCAAAGAAACAGGAAACAATGGGATTGCAGGATAGCGTGAGGGCACCTTAGCGATAGTTCGGTCTCTTTTAGTTTGTTTTTGTCTGGTGGGTTTGGGGTGAACATAGTCCATCTCCAGTGCAGCTCAGATGCCCCCAAATGGACACGGTGCACATGGATATTCGTAAGTAAACAACAGCAGGTACCAACCAAGCAGCATTCCTATTCCCAACCCTGCAGGGATTTTTACCTCCGGAGTGCAGACACATCCCCCGTGTAGGCAGCGAACAGCAGATTTATCACAGACTTTACCTACAAAGAGAGATGAAGTCCAGTTTATTTAGCTTCTCTCCTCCAAAAGCAAGCAAATGGAAGACCTAGAAAAACCCAGCATGGCCAGTTTGTCCAGTGCTTATGAACTTGTTACTTTTATCCCCTTCCATGGCCGCATTTTGCAGTATAGCATAAAACACTGGAAGAATTTGTTCCAGCTTGCTTTGCTACTGGTACTTTTAGGTCTGTCTTTCCAAGGTTGAAGTCGTAAGGACAGTAAAAGAATGGTAAAACGTGCATTTCTACTCTACTGTGGTAAAAAAATATGAGCCATGCTGTATGGACAAGCCATATTTCTCTCTCTGATTGCCCAATGATACTGAGTACTGAATCACACAGACAGCCTCACTCTGCACAATTCATACTACCATAAACACCTCCTAAGATAAATTCATTCCAGAAAAGTAAATTTTTAATTTTTTTTATTCCCCACACACACACACAGAAGCCTCCTAATGCTAGGAGAAATCTATGTTAGCAGAAGGAAAGAAATGGTACCGGCTTTGCTTTGTATTATAGATTTTCTTTGCAGACATCTAATATGAAGGCCTTCTTCAAATAAACAATTTTAAGCAATTCTATCACATAATGAGCCGCTACAAGAAAAGCAAGGTCTCAAGGCAGACAAAAGTAGGATGCTTTTAGATCAATCAACATGGATAAAGTCTCAAGAAAGTAGTGCTTTTCTCAGCTATATTAATTACTCTAACAAGAAGCGATACTGTTGGGCTACACCAACCTTGTCCCATGCACCTTTTTAACACGTCTTGGCTGTAACAACTCCACAAGTTTTAACAAGAGCCAAAACCTACAAGTTAGATGGTTTTACGCATCCCACATCAGCTCCTTTCATGAACTGATAAAGCCACTTCTAGGCACCATTTCACAGTGATTTCCAGTAAACTTTCCAAATGCTGCATTGCTTTTTGAGCCTGTCACTGCTACCAGCCAAGCAAGAAAGACAAAGAAAACTGATGCTGCATTGACCTTCTACAACAAGGAGCAGAAACAAACAAACAAACAAACAAATCACCGCCTACAAGCAAATCTCCCACAGATTTCTGCAAAAACACTGGCCTATTTTCACAGGGCCATAGATGAGCCAATATCTGCACCTCTTATAAACCAAAGTAGTGGAATTGCTTATTATTTTTTACACCTTAAGTATGCACTAACGCGAAGAGGGACTGAAGCAAAAGGAGACAGAGCCAGGATGGAAACCGAGCCACACTCCTTACCCCAGTATCCACAAACTCCTGCAGCTCCTTTTCAGTTTGCACTGTGAGGCTCACAGGGCTTAGGAGCCTTGCACAGCGAGTGAGAGACCTGCTCAGCAGGATCTGCAGGTCTTTACCCCTTCTCAGGAGACTCAGTTTTCCCCAGGCTGCTCCTAAACCTGACTTGCTCCAAAGGCTGGGCCCCTGGGCTCCCTCAGCACTGACCCCAAAGCACCTGGGTCACCTTTAACTGTGGCGATCCTGGTATAATTTCCCAGAGAAGCAGTACAGAGGACAGGCCTGAAGTAATCCTGTTCCTCCCATGAAGGTTTTTTTTGTTTAAAGCTTCTAAAAACAAACAAACAAAAAACCAACCCAAAAACCAGTGACCAAGAATCCCACAGCATGTCAGCAGGGGCTTTGCTCTGGGCGCAGAGCCAGCCATCCCTGGGTTAGCCCACCCACCCCCACAGCCCTTCTCCTGCCCCTGCCCAGGGCAGCTCTTCTGCAGGCTGCCCCTCAGCCAGGCTCACCGCCTCTCCAGCCCCTGGCTCCGCGCAGGAGCTGGGGACCATGGGCCCAGGCTGCCACCAGCACCTGCAAGGATGTGGGGGCTCATCACTGCTGCAGTGAACTGGCAGGTGTCACGGCAGCAGCACCACTTGCATCGCCAAGACCAGCTAAGGGCAGCAAACACCCAAGAGCACTCTCATGAGGCTTTCAGTAGGAAACACCACCGCCACACCAAAATATTAAAGCCTACTAAAAGAACGTACATCTTTTATAGCTGCTGGACTGCAGGCTGTATTCAAACACAAGCACGAAAGGGGAATTTAGTTTGATAATCTCTAAATTTCATCAGGATGATTCAGGAGTTTTCCTTGCTGAGAGAGAAGCCGAGCATTGCTGGTGCCCTGAAGGCAGACCAGGCTGGTTGCACCCACACATTTCAGGTTCCTGCAGGTGCTGAACACTCTCCCTTTTTCACGATGTAAAATGAGCAAATGACATTATGTCTTCAATAAAAAATATTTCAGAGGTAACTGATCATTTTGTCTGGATTTCTTTTTGTTTCCAGAAAATGCAAATGTGTATCAAGATAATAAAATAAAAATAACACGCATTCATTCCTTACAAAAAAACCAGCTTTCCACGTGCAGCTGAGGCCAAGAATTCCTCTGGATTCAGCTGAGCATCTTGCTAAGAAGCCATTTGCATTTGCTATAATGGTGTGACAAAATGTAATTTGGAGATTCCTGAGGCTTTCTAACACAATAATCTTGAGCAATCTAAGAGAGGTTAAACCTGCTCCTTTCTCAAGATAAATAATGTAAAATCCAAGGCCACATTATTATAAAACTGAATTTCTTGACGGATCAAAACAAAAAGAAACACAAGTCCAGACAAAAAAAAAAATCTCTGCCTGTTTAGTTCAGAAGGAAATTTGAGACGAAATATGACTGCTCTCTGTAGAACAGTAAATGTAATGGGATACAAAAAGCAGGAGAAAAGCAAATTTAGCAGGACAATTACAGCAAAATAATTATCTAAAAGAGGGCAGGTATGAACTCAAGCTGGAAAAAAGCAGACAGAGCCTAGCCATCATAGCCAAAACAAACCTCACAGAGGGCTACCTGCCCCTGTTTCAAATGAGACTTTAACGGTTCTACAGAAGAACTAAGTTGGATTTGCTAGCAACAAAACACACCTCGACCCTTAACTGCACCCACCCTATCAGCAGCATAGTCTAGGCCAAAAAATTTACAAATTTTATAAGGTATGAAATGAAATTGCTCAAATGGCAGCCATAAAACCCAAAGATGGACACAAAAAGCAAATTCAAGAATAAAATTTAAAAATCTGCAAATACCAAATATATCTTCAATTTGAAGTAAGAATATACAGTTTCTAGCATCTTCCTTGGTTTTCAAGAGAACATTAATCTAAGGAGCACATATATTAACCATCATGTAAGAGGTTATCATTTACATTGAGAAAAAGTTACTATGTGAAAATAACTTGCTGCCAGGAGCTTTGTATCTGCACAAAATCTCACTTAGGCTGCCACAAAGTCAAGCACAACCAAGACTTCAAAAATGCAACTAAAAATTTTCTACCCCCAGACTCACAGACTACTAGCCTGAAAGAACAGGTCCATTGCAAAAATCAAAAGCCACAAAAACCCTACAGTGGGAACAGCAAATATATGATTGTGGGGTTTTTAACTGTAGTGAAAAAAAAAATGGTGAAGATGAGAGATGAGCTGTACCCATTCAAACTAAGCAGGGCACAAGGGACAAGGCAACTAATTTAAGTGTTCAGAGACTGTCACCGAGTTTCTCACCCAGGGGTTCATTACATTCTTTGTGCCACATTCAACCTGACAGCCACGTATTACCTTTTTCTACTGCACAGAATTCCTTAACTATGAAAATTTAATAAAATGAGAAGGGATGGAGTCCCTTCGCTATAGAGTTGGATCAAACATTACCATACAGCTACATAGCAGCACCAAACCCAGAGCAAAAACTGTCCCACCTCTATCAAATGGGAGATAAACCTGCATGCACCATACAGAGGAACTTAACAACTCTCTTGTCATTGTGCCAGAAACACAGAGCACTACTCACTTATCTGTGATGAAACTCTCTTTGTACAACCTCTCTTTCCTGAGTGCTGGATATAATCCTTGTTATCCAGGTGGTGAAACCACCAAGGAAAGGTTCCTCAGGAATATCTGTGTCATGCAACATAAAGATCAGAAGTCCCAGACTGCACACCTTGCATTTTCACCTTCAGGTTAGGAGGTGTTAGAGGTCCCGGACTCAGCTGGATGAAGCTATGATGAACTCAGTGTAGTGCTGGCAACAGTCCTGCTTCACACTGGAGGTGGCCAAATGACCCCGACCTCCAGAGGTTCCTTCCAACTAACCGTTCTGTGAATCTGTGGGTAAGAACATGAGCAGCCCAAGAAAGAAAAAAACAAGACCGTTGTTGCTGAAGAACTACACTGAGGTCAAGTTAAAGGAAGGAAACACTCGGAGCTCAGAGCGGCAGGAAGCCACACTGCTGCGGCAGACATTTCAAATAAACATAGGGGTCTAAAGGGGAGGGGGAGAGAAAAAAAAAAAAAAAAAAAAAAAAGGAAAACCACACCAACCCAAAACCCGAAAAGCACAAACCAAAGTGAGACACAGCACTGAAAGTTACAAAGGAAAACTGAGCATTAATGTGGCTCCTAGTCTAAAGCTTTCATATTGCAGTTATTTTAGATTAGCTCCTAAGCCTGACTGTGCTAAGAGTTTCGAAGAAGTCTCCTTCAAGCAGCAGGACTCAGACGGGAAGCCAGCTGCACATGAATGGAGGGAGCGTGGCAAAACACAAGGGCTGCCTCAGCGTTTCAGGGAGCACATGCCCCATGCACAGCAGGTACATTGCTGTCCCCCATTTCTCTGTAAAAACGTTGTCGAAGTACTTTGGTATGGCATGATAGGTTTTGTTTTTCAATTTCTCAGTGAAAAAAAAAATCCAATGAAAAAATAAGTTTAACTTCAGTATTAATATGCTGAAGGTACTTATCGCAAGTGAAATTTCAACACAGCTAATTGATCTGAAAGGCTTGACTGGTACATGGGAACAGCCTTGGTGGAGTATTTGCAACAAAACAGTCTTCCCTAGTCTTAGTCTCATGATGGCTAATAGCAAATCCCTGTGCAAGACTGGGATGGGAATCACTTCTCTCAACACAGACCAGTTTAGAGG